AATTTTATTGATCACCTACTGATTTTTTTAAGACTTTCGAAGAGCCAAAACAGCTACAATGTTGCCATTCGGTTTGTGTTCCATGCGAGATTGGCATACGGGGCTGGACGAAAATCCTTGCAGAAACAGCACAATCTCATTATAGTTGTCCTTTATGTCGTCATTCAACTTTGACCAAGCCATCGACCAATTACGCCCTAAAAGGTAGGTAAATTTTACATAACATGAGGTTGTATTTTGAGCCATTGCTCTTACAGGTATCAGCTGGAAAGTTGACTCGGAAAACCTTTGGCACTCTAGGAATCTTTACACTTGTCACGCCTGTACGTAGCAGTACATGAGATGAATTACAACGGTTCATTTTCTGATGCGGATTTCACAAGAAGGTGTGGGGCTTCTGAGGCCTACTTCGGCTGCCACTTATTCCCCAACGACTTGTACTGTTTCTAAATTGTAGCGCAGTACTTATATGGGATGGCTTAGTTTGTTTTTCTTTATGGCAAAGTGATTAAGTAGACAATTATTTGGTTGGCAGTTATTACTTGATTGGAATGCTGAGTTGACAGAAATAAACCGTAACTGGCCTTGGAAATAAACTGTAAGTGTTAATATGAATGCATATTCCGTTTCCATGAGAGGATGCACGGAAGGCTGTAGATTTGTTAGACATTTTCTCTGTATTTCATTTATAACTGTTTGATCCATAATCGCATCGTACATCCTCGTTCTTCGTTCTCGACGTCTTGGAATGGAGCCGCTTCACTTTCTTTTTGCTTATCTTGGGGTTCTCGACTACTTTCTAGACCAGTTTACATAGATAAAAGTTTACTTGTTTTTGGCCGTATCGATTTTCTTGTCCCCTACGATAACTTTGGATGACGGCGGAGAAAATGCATCGTAAGTCGACGAAGTTGTAGTTGATGTTATTGTTATTCTCGATCTCTGTCTTCTTTCATTAGGCAACTCTCCCCTGCTCTATTACCCACCATTATCGTATCTTCCAAAGTGCTTCTTTATTTGAACCTTCCGTCCGCCTTCATATTTTGTGTTTAAATCATTTACTATATAGATGTTCCGCAAAAAAATGGTTTGATACTGTAGTAGTACGTCTAAAATTCTACACATTCACTGTGCTGACGGCACACATGATTCCACTATAATTCCTTTGTTTCGGTCACCTTGATGCTGCCATTTTCCCAATTCTCTGAACGTCTCATTCCAGCTTGTTTTGCATACACCAAGTACGTCATTTGTTTTTTGCAGATCTGGTGAAAATAGGTTAGTAGGGCCCGCAGTCGCTGTCGAAAAATGAACTCGCTTCAAAGAAGGTGGACCCATGAATTACATATCGAAGGGCCAAGCGCATCTTGTAGCGGTCTCGTTATGTTCGAGATTTTCAGGAAATGCAACAAACAGTCATCAAAAAGAGGCGCTGATTGGCATTTCGCAAGCGAGGGCGGTTACTAAGACATGGCTCGGCACAGCCAGGTCCATACACGATCTGCGCCGATTTTTTCGGGGTCGTTACTCCGCTACAGAATAGGACGTTGGATGCGGCAGATGGCACTGGTGCGGGGTTTTGTGGTGCTGGAGCGGAGTTTTGTGTGCGGATTCCGGGCGTAGGGGTTGGAGGTAAAGGGTGGGGGGGGTGGAGGGGGTTGCTAGGGTAGACTGAGTAGAAACAAGGCATGGCCACGTAAGAAA